ACTTTAGCAGTTCTAGGCATAAACTTTCAAAAGTTGCTTAGGGGCCGATGTTTGCAGGATGGCTGGAAAATGGGAAGCCCTCAAAGTGAGAATCCAGAGAAAGTATGTTTCTGTTAGGGTGAAGGGCAAGGCTGGCAGGTGTAGGGAATGTTGGATGATTGGAAAAATTGAGGTTTTAATCAAGAAAAAGAAGGAAGCATATTTCAGGTATAGACAGCAGAGATCGAGTAAATCCCTAGAAGAGTATAAAGGCAGTAGGAGTACATTTGAGGGGGAAATCAGGAGGGCAAAAAGGAGGCATGAGATAGCTTTAGCAAATAGGGTTAAGGAGAATCCAAAGGGATTCTAAAAATACATTAAAGATAAAAGGATAACTAGGGAGAGAATAGGCCCCTTCAAGATCAACAGGGCCTATGCGGGAAATACAGGAGATGGGGGAGATACTAAATGAGCATTTTGCAACAGTGTTTACTGTGAGAAGTAAACTATGGTTACCATGGAAGACATAGAGCGTGGGGAAATAAATATTGACATTTGGAAATAAAGGAGGCTGGTACAATTAGAACATTTAAAAAGCATCTGGATGGGTATATGAATAGGAAGGGTTTAGAGGGATATGGACCTAATGCTGGTAAATGAGACTAGTTTTATTCAGGATATCTGGTCGGTATGGATGAGTTGGACTGAATGGTCTGTTTCCGTGCTGCACATGTCTATGAATCTATCAGCTTTAGTTTTCAGTAACAGTTTCTTAGGCAAAACCTTATCAACAGCCAGCTCTACAGAGAGACAAAACATCCAAGGGTTAAAACATTGAAGCTATTTGATTCGATGTAAGGAACCAAAAGTAGTTGTCAAGTTTCTGGGAATTTAACACATACCCTAAATAACGTAACAATGATAACCGTAATAAATCAGTAGCAATGTTTTGAGAAACATAAAAATCACATTGCAGTAAAAGTGTCTAGTTTAAAGGGCAAGGAAGGTGAGCAGTTCTGAAAACTTGGACAGGAGAATTCTTTAACTGACATAATTCCAGCCAATAAGGGGAGAAACAGTGATGGCCGTAGATCTGGGCAATGAAGTAGGACAAGCAGAATATATGTCAGTGGGAGGTAGAGTCATTATAGAACAGAAGAGCACCATTTGGCCCATCAAGTCCATGACTTTCTGTAAAGAAATCCAACAGTCCCAATTTCCCACCCTCTCTATATAGCCCTGCAAGTTTACTTTCCGCAAGTGCTGCAAGTGACTAAATGTCTCTGCTTCTAGCTGTGTAAAAATGTTTTTCTTACATTCTGTCCCCTCCAGACATTGTACCGATTAGAACAGTTTTCTTTGTCCATGTTATCGAAGGATGTCATCATCTTGTCAAAACCATCTTCTTTTCTCAGAAGAGAATTTTTCCTGTTTCTGAGGCTTGTATTTAAAATCCCTCATCTCGGGAATCAATCTGGTAAACTTCATCCGTCTTAAAGTATGGTGTCTTGAAGTGGATGCAAAACTAAAGTGGTAGTCCAGCCAGATTTTGAATAATAACTATTTATATTATAACTGGATTTTTATTAGTTATGGAAAGGGAGAGAACATTCAATGTGAAAATACCCAAATGGAAAAGGAAGAATTTCAGTGATTTGATAAGGGCTTTAACATATGTGAACTGAAACAACACACTGGCCAAGAAAACGTGAAATGAACAACGGCAGGCCTTCAAGGTAGAGGTAGATTGGGTACAAACTAAACAATTTCCCAAAAGGAGGAAAGGTTTGATATTTAAAACTACAGTTCCCTGAATGACAAAGAAAATGGAATTCAAAGGAAACACAAAGGAAGTTATGTACAGTAAACAACAGAAAGTCAGGCAAAATTCGGAAAGTGTGGGAGGAAATTGAGAAAGGATATAAGAATGTGAAAGAGTGTACAAGAATATGACAGGATATAAGAAAGTATAAGTAAAGATTAGTGGGTAATATAAATTTGTGTCTATTTTTAAAATTATCATTTTAAAAGTAAAATCTTAGTTAAAAGAATGATGGGGTCCATGAGGGACACAAATGAAAAATATCTTGTAGAAATTCAGGACATGACTGATAATCTGGATGTATATTTTGCATCTATCTTCACAAGAGAAGATGAGGTAAATCACACTGTAGAGTTGCGGTGGAGGGTTGAGAACAAGACATTAGACAGTGCAAAAATATTTTTAAAAAAGGACAATGCTTATTATATTACGTTAAAGTGAAGTCACCTGATCTAGATGGGATGCATTCTTGCGATACTTAAGGGAAACTGGGATGGAGAAAGCAGAAATTTGACCATAATTTTAAACATTCTCTGAATATCAGAGTGGTGCCTGAAGACTGGAGGATTGCAAATGTTATAAATCCCTACTCGAATAGTTCACGAAGCCTACCCAAATCCTTCTGGAGCCATCTTACATTTTCCTCACAATATAATTCCACTTAGCTTCCTTATATCATCCACAAATTTGGAAATATGATATTTGGTCCCCAATTCCAAGTCATTGTGAACATTTGGAATCCAAGCACTGATCTTTGCAATGTCTCACTAATGATAGCCTGCCAATGTGAGAGAGGCCCATTTATTCCTATTCTCTGTTCATTGTCTGTTAGTCAATTATCAATCCATGCCAATACATGATTATATGATATACTTTATATTTTCTAACCAGCCTCCTATGCGGGACTTCATCAAAAATCTAAGTGTACTATGTCCATTGGCTTTCCTTTATCAATTTGTTAGTAACATCTTTAAACAATGATTTCCCATTTTCATGATTTATCAACTTTCAGCTCCAGTACTTTCTCCAGTGCAATCTTTACTTTATAAAGCAAATTCTATGCAGATAAGTGTGAGGTGATGCACTTGGGCAAGACCAGCAAGGCAAGGTAAACAATTAGCTCATTTGGCTGTCCAGTTGGTTTGCATCGTACTGTAATGCCAACAGTGTGGGTTTAATTGTTGCACCGGTTGACGTTACCATGAAGGACTCTTTCTCAGCCTCTCCCCTTGCCTGAGACATGGCGACCCACTTCACCAGTCATCTCTCTTTCTCTCATGACAGAGCAGCCCTATAAGGGCTTTGCCAAATTTACCTTTATTATTAAAGATTATCCATTGTCTACATATGGTCATGACTTTTGATGTATTTTCCGAATTCACCTCAGACAATTAATGTCTCATGTCGTCAAAGCTTCCCTTATTTAAATTTAACACACTTGATCCATTCATTCATTATCTTCACAGTAGGTTACAGCATCTGCTCCTGGCCAGCTCCCTCTACATAACCATGAAACTGATGTTAGTATATCGTCATTATGTACACTTTTGATGTTAATCCCACTATGTTATGGGTAGAAATTAAGGATGACTCTCTTGCTCTTCTTCAAAACACTGCCATGGAATGTTTTACTACATCCATCTTGAGGCCTCAGTTAAACATCTCATTAAAAAGATGGGATGTCAACTCATCAGTAAAGTCAGTACTGCTCTGGAAGGTTAGTCTTCTGTTTATTGCGCTGCAGCCCCACAGTGGCTCTTGAAAGGAGGACGTTTGTTTTATTCATTTGTGGTTTATGGGCATCGCTGGCTGGCCAGCCAGCATTTATTGCCTGTCCCTAGTTGCCCTCTGAAGTGGTGGCGAGCTACCTTCTTGAACTGCTGCAGGTTGACCCACAATGCCATTAGGGAGGGAATTCCAGGATTTTGACCCAGTGACAGTGAAGGAACTGCGATATATTTCCAAGTTAGGATGGTGAGTGGCTTGGAGGTGATGGTGTTCCCGCCTGTAGTTTATAGTGGGAGTACAACCAACCAAGTCACCATTGACACAGAATACTAAAGTTAGCCTGTTCCCTCGCCTTTTAAAATCATTGTATAACCATGAATTACGAGATATCACTCAGTCACTAGATACTATCTTTAATACTGGTCTATTTGCAATGGCTCAGGCCTGGTTTATAACTTTTCTAAAAATTGCTAAGATGAAGTCAGTTATATAGAGAGTGCCATTTAACAAAAGATAATCCAACCAGCCTTCAATGAAGTCACACTGTGAATGCTCTGTGTTGTAACATCTGACTAAAGGGATTGGAATGAACAAGGCCCCAGACACAAGGCGTTCACCCAATGTTCATTGATTGGCTACTCGGTCCGTCAATCACCGGCAGCAGAGGCAGAAAGTGCTGAAAAAGCTCAGCACGTCCGGCAGTGTATGTAGAGAGAAATTAGTGTTAACGTCTTGGTTCAAGTGGCTGGTCCTCAGAGCCGGTTCTGATCGACAGCAGCCGCACAATTCTGTCGGTTTTTTTTTGTTCCGTCAATCACCGGCACCTGGAGGCGGGCTGAGCGAGCGGTGCATGCGCGGGGTTGCCACGTCAACGCGCAGACGGAACGGTGTCGGCTCGAGACGGAGTAGGGAGGGAACCCGCGGGACGGTGAGTGACCCCCCCGCCCCCACCACCGGCGGGAACCCGCGGGACGGTGAGTGACCCCCCCCCCCC